CCCAGGGGACGGCCAAGATTAACCTGGTGCAAACATATGGAAGAAGTCTGTTCCAGACTCCATTTGTCTTATGCCGAAGCTCAGACTATGGCACAGGATCGGGAACGTTGGAAGCTCTGTTTGGCGTGTCTGCCTTCGCGACCCGAAAGGAGCAGTGACGATGGAAGATGGTGGTGATGATGATGATGAAGTTAGATGTTCGTGTCGATCATCGTGGAGAGGTTGAAGGAGGCCATGTATGCTTCGCAGCGAACAAATCAAGCAGGCTTCTGGCCTGACAGTATGACGTGTTACTCGATACTGGAGTTTCATATGCGGTGGTATACCTGGTGAAATGTCTATACGATGAGACATAGTGTGTTTTATGTGCTGAAAGACCACTGTCAGACTGACTCGAAATTACAAATGTAGTTGGGCAAGATGAATTGCTTTCCTTTGTTGTTAAGCATCATGGAGGACTATATAATGCGAAAGGGCGTCGTCCGAAATTATGAGACCTCGGTCAGTGATGCAGCTCGACGCTCAGCAGGACCTCTGAAAACGTACGAAACTTTGAGTAGTTTGTGCTGCTGACGACTTTACAAACAGTCTCTTAGTACTCATCAGAGTGTGTGCAACACGGCTGTGGTTGTGCGACTACGATTCATTGTCAATAAGACGAAAATTATTAGCTCATCTACCGCAATGGTCGGCCCAAGGTGATTATAGGATTATGCTCCCATGAACTATTTTAAGTGCCTTAAATAGCCTTGGCTATGCGGCAGTGATCTTGAAATGAATCGGCCCATGGGACTGGCATTTGCCAATTTCAGCAAACTATGAAATACAAAAAAATAGAAGTGTAAGAAGGACCATAAAGGTAATTGTCCTGAAACCAGCCGTATTCGCGTGCTCATGTACAATCGCGAAGCATTTGCTCTTCCCAAGCGTCATGAAGCCCTTCTTGACTACTTCCAACAGCCCTGCCTGCGTGGTATCGCTGAGTGCGATGATAGCATCAGGTTATGAACGCGCAGATGCAGACAAACACCGGTCTGAGGAAGGTATGAAATGAGGCTCAGAGGCCTGCGCCCGGCTTTGATAAAACGGCCAAAAGGAGAATGGAAATCAAAACCCTTCTCGCTTTCAAACCGTACAATGGCCGCAGGCGCGTTGGAGTTAAATTCAAAGCCTAAAACATCGCGTTTAAACATATCTGCTTGCGATGGGACATATGACTCGCCGCAGCAGTGTACGAGCCTATCATTTCTAACGGTCGATCATAAATCTGGGTTGCTGTCTTGCTTAAGCTATGTTAATTACACGGAGTAGCACGCATGTAGGGAATCCGATGTTCAATGGCGTTAACACTTAATATTAGCAAATTTGCGCCGCGTTTCGGATTTGAATCCGGTTCCTCTAAAGTGCGAAAAGAACTACTTGCGCCTATTTCTCTTCCTGTACCCTTCATCTTCCATGGCCGCTTCTCCTTTTGGGTCTCAGAGGCAGACGCGTCAGACAAAGCTTCCAACGTTCCCGATCTTGTGCCAGAATCTGGAGTTGACGAATGTCCAGCAATTTCAAGTTGGTACTCTATGGCTTCATCAACTAACTCTTATTTTTTCTCTCTGAGTGAGGATATATTCCATTTTCCGACTATAAGCTCCCACTGGCGGTGTCGTTCTCATGGAGTCTTTTCTGACGTGCTTTGATGGCATCGTGCTGTGTGCCTCCTCCGTTCAGAACGGGTAGCAGCTCCGTTACTGACTGGTATTTTTGTCGTCGTTGCGTTGGTCTTTGTCAGCCGTCGTTGTGCTGCCACGCCCCCGGCTGGCAGAGGGCAATGAGCAAGTTCTGATCGCCGACTTTTCAAAGTCTGCCTCAGTCCCCCAATAGCCTGCTCGGCCCTTGGTAACCCGGCGACGACCGAGCCGGTATAATTTTCGATGGCGTCAATACCATGAGTGGCAGATGGCGAACTTTTACTGAGACTTTGCCACGGTCTCCAACCCTCCTTTCTGTACCGGGCTTGGGACCGGCAGCGGCAGAGTTTCTGTTCCCTTGATTAAACAAATATATTGAGGCCAGTGTGAATAATGCCGCCGCACAGTTAACCTTCGTAGAACATGTTTTTCTGTTGAGAAATTTTCTACCGATGCTTCACTGAATTTTTGGGGATTGGCAATACGCTATTATGTAAGATTTTGGTCGCAACCTCCGGTGTCTCACGATATCGTTTCGCTACTAATTTGTTAATTTCAGACCAAGTCGTCGACGCTACACGCAAGGGAAATAAAATCCGTTTCGCGAACCACTCGATCAGCCCGAACTGTTACGCAAAGGTGATGATGGTGAACGGTGATCACCGAATTGGCATCTTCGCTAGACGCTACATCAACGCTTTTGAAGAACTGTTCTTCGATTATCGGTTAGTTGATACTTGCTCGTTAATCCTTTGCCAAACTGCTGTTTAGCTACGGCCCGCTGGAACAGCTTAAATTCGTGAGCATAGAAAGAAGTCGCATAAGTTGAACGGAACGGATCGTAGTAGGTTTTAATATGACGCTAATGTTCTTGCTTGAAAATAAAATGCACGATGTTTAATAAAGTTTTTTTAGATAAAGCCTAACATTGTTTGTAAAGGTGGCCTGAGACCCGTGGCGAATAAACTGTCAATGCCATAGACATGAAATCCTACAAATAAGCAGCAAAGTCGCGTGCTGGTCAGAGACCCCACAGTATTTTCAGCCAGTACAGTAAAATTCACCTTCGGAAAGTCATTTCATGTTACAAATTCAAGGTTAGTTAATTGCTTAGATGTTCTTGGAAAGTGTCCAGCCTCCCCACTTGTATAACAAAAATATCAACGAAACGCCAGCGGTAGCAAAGTTGTTTCATTGATTTTAGTCATTCATTGCTAACGGTTTAAATATCAGAGTAACCATGATTTTTTATTTCTGACATTATTTGGTGTATTAGGCTAATACGGATTAACCAGACAATGTTTGGTCTCAGATTAGTATTTGTCAATGAGTCTTCAGGCTACCATATGGTTGATTCTCCTACTGCTTTCAGATTGCATTTGATCTTTATCTGACGGTATCTCTTTTGTTCTACACATCAATGACTAGCTTTGGCTGGGGAGTTCAGCACTTTTAGTGCCTTCGAATTTTTGAGGCGAACAGAGCCAGCGTTGCCAACATGTGACCGTTTGTCACGATAATTCCCTTCAGCCACATACACCAGCAGAACGTTTCGAATCGTTGTGTCCATTGCACAGCTTTTTAACACTGTTGCTACAAAATGTTCCTTTCTGAACGCAATTTTCCGCTATTCTACAGACCGCTTAATGAACGTTAGTTTGGGTTGTACGGCGTTATGACAATACTTGCTTGCTCTAAGATATCTTGAGAGCTTAAGTCAATGTTTCATGGCTTGTCATTCAGTCTATTACAATGTAAATAAAACTTTACTCGTAATTGATTGCAAGCAATATTACGACCAATTATAAACTGGCGGAGCCAACAAAAGTATGTACAGCAATTAAGACACTGATATGGCTACGAAAAACGTATGCTTTGCTTTGAAATAATCATGTTTTCAGTTCGTTCAACAACTTCAAAATTTCTTTATCAGTAATTTCTGATGATCTACCCTTCTCTGTCTCACGGGTTTTTTCTGCGGTCACCGGCAACTTTGGCATCTAAAATGAAATGGGTCGTTTACTGAAACGCGCGTACTGATGAAGCATTCGGTTTACCTTCTGCGATGTTTCAATCCCGATTTCATCCAGCACCTTGTCTATCACTTGTTGTTCCTCCTCTTCGTCACCAGAATCGTTCATGATGCCGTCCAAAGCGTCATTAACTGAACGAAACCATGATCATGTAGAAAAAAAATGCGTAAACTTGTCAAACTAAAACAAAAGTAGAGCAGCGATTCAATGACTACAGGCCGGCCACCGACCGTCTGAGCCCATCTTTTCATCGTAGATGTTTCAGGAGAAACATGAAGTATCATAAGGGTTTAACCGTCAATATTCAACTGTTCATTCTTAAGCTTTTCTGATCACGTTGACTATAAAACGAACCTAAACTTTATGTTGATTTTGTATGTCTACAAATCTAATGAATCGTCGCAACCAATCTTGAAGCACGAGTTTTCAGGGCACCCCTCAAACAGATGCGCATGGTCACGGGTTACAGCATACACCCCTGCTTCGTTCCATAATGAGCGCTATTTGCCGGCAGGGAAAGTAACGAGCCAAGACTGCCACTGGCATGCGTACCGTTACATCCAAACCAGATAATCCTAAAACTACTCGATAAAGTTCCGGTTCCCTTTCGGCAACAGATATCAACCAACACATCGCGCACACATTTCAGGGTAGCTCCAACAGCAGAGAATCGGACTCAACCGAAAGATCTGGCCGCAAGTTACTCACCTTTCCTTACAAAATGGATGAATGAATGCCACTTATACGAGAAAAAAAACAGGAGGTTATACGCTATATGGTCATCTGACAGCAGATATAGCTTCAAAGCAGCAACAAGGCAACAGTGGTTAATGGCGAAGCAACGCATATTAGCATGAAACAAGAGTGATACATGCCATGACATATTCCCAAGGGTTACGAACTTGGCCTCCCTTTCTACACAAATTGACCGTCTGACATACCGGAAGATTTTCTAAATTAGATAACGAAAATAAATTCGAACTCCTGCTTCTAATACGTAGAGGCCTTTGCTAAGTCATCTTTCTGCCTTATCTGAACAACTGCCTGAACGGCTAAAAACGCATTCCCACAATTATCCAGTACTGATTTTTGATGAGCTCATGATACCTTACCGTCTCGAAATGCAAGTCATTTATCATTGGTATTCAAGTGCTGTCGATCTATCCTTGAACCCATACTGCGCGAATACATGGAAATATTTATCTATGTGTAATCAAACTTTCACATATTAATTCCATCGCTAAGGGTAAATCATTTGGAAACTTTTTTATCAAACAGGATTTCTATTATTAAAGGGCAGTCCCTGTAAAATAGCCGGCAATATATAGATACTGAAGCAAAGAATACGTTATATCGAACCATCAACGAGACAATCATTCAGTAAAGCAAAACCAACAAAAGCAAAGAAACAACTCGAATTTTGAATGATACTTTATAGAAGCTATCAAGAACAAGAAAAACAGCACGCGCTCGGTTGCCTGGACGGTAATTACGACGAACCTGCGAAAAAGATTTATATGTTTATGTCATCTCTTCGACCAGCGAATGATATTTGGCACTGTTTTTGTTATTATATATCCAGCGAGATTAGCATGCATACTGGACAACGAAAGATATGCAAAAGGCAGAATGTAAAAACGTGGTTACTTAATTCTTCGGACATGTCCAGTCTAGAAGACCCTTCTTCGAACTCCTTCAGCGTTTTTGCCAATTTGAGCGGGTTCACCTTCGATTCGAACATCCGCATAGACTATAACGAAAAAAGTGCTGAAGGCAGCTCTAATAAACGAAAATATAATCAGTATACCTTGGTACTCGTCTTCACTGCATCAGCTATTCGCGCGTTCGAACTTATCATCTACCAGAAAAAGTATGGTAGAAAACGTAATACCTCATTCGCCGCCCGTTCGCTGACTTACCTTTGTCTGCGTACTCAACCCGGCGACCCTTGTGGATATGCCTATGGATCGAGAGTTCTGCTTGCGTAAATTTATCAGCTGCTTTGCCAGCATCCTGCAACTGTCTC